CTGTATATAAAAATAATTAAAAATGAATCCTAATGAAGAATGGGATAGGAGAGGGAGTAGGAGATGAGATGGTTTGTGGGTGGGAGGGTGGTTATGGTGGGAAAAACCGCTAAAATCCAAAAGTTGTACTTTCGAAATTTATATTTATTAAATAAAAGTTTAAAAATACATTAATTAAAAAAACAAATTCTAAGTAATCCACTGGTAAGAGAGGAAGTCTTGAGGACATTAGAAAATATTTTGAGCTGAATATATACAAAAACATACCAAAATTTATGGGATGTACCTAAAACAGTTCTTAAAGGGAAATTTATAGAAAAATATTTACATAGGAATAAAAGAAAGGCACTGTGGTGCACTAGGTTAATCCTCCACCTGCAGCGCCTGCAACCCATATGAGCGCCGGTTCTAGTCCTGGCCGCTCCTCTTCCAGTCCAGCTCTCTGCTGTGGCCCGGGAAGGCAGTGGAAGATGGCCCAAGTGCTTGGGTCCCTGCACCCACATGGGAGACCAGAAGAAGCTCCTGGTTCCTGGACCAGCCCTGGCCATTGCATCCATTTGTAAAGTGAACCAGCAGATGGAAGAACTCTCTCTCTCTCTGTCTTTCTCTGTCTCTCTGTCTCTCTCTGTAACTGCAAATTTTTAAAAAGAACTTCCGCCACCCCCCAACTTTTGAGGGAAAAAAAGTTACAAAACTAAAAAGAAAGCAATCCATGCAATCAAAAGGAAGGAAATGAAATTAAGATACCCATAATGTTGAAAATTGAAAAGCAATAGAGAAAATCAAGAAAACCAAAAGGCAGTTCTTTGAAAAGACTAATGAAATTGATAGACCTCTAGTTAAAAGAGAAAACACAAATTACCAATATCAGGAATGAAAGAGGGACTATCACTACCCATCCAGCAGATGTGAAGTAGATAATCGGGGACGATTATGAACACACACACACACACACACACACACAAATCTGACAACTGCGAGGAGATGCTCCACTTGCCCAAATTCAGCCACGATGACATGGGAAGTGTGAATAGTCCTATCACAAGTGAAGAATTGAATCGCTGCCTAAAACTCCTTTGAAAAAGAAATCTCCAGACCCAGATGGTCCCACTGATGAATTCTACTTCTCTTCAGGGAGATGGAACGCAATCCTTCCAGTAAATAGAAGAGGAGGAAATACCTCTTAGCTTATTTTATAAGACCAGTATTACCTGATACCAAAACCAAAGACAGTACAAGAAAAGAAAACTTCTGAACAATATCCCTTAAGGGAAATTGGACTTTGCTATTCATTGGGTATAAAGTTTCAGTTATGCAAGATGAGTAAGTGCTGGTGAGCCAGTATACATCATCATGCCTATAGTTCACAATACTGTATTTTTTTTTTTGAAGATTTTGTTGCTGTTGTTGAGAGACAGAGTTACAGACAGACAGAGGGAGAGAAAGAAAGGTTTTCCATCCACTGGTTCACTCTCCAAATGGCTTAAACAGCAGGAGCTGGGCCAAGCCAAAGGCAGGAGCCAGGAGCTTCTTCGGGGTCTCCCACATAGGTATAGGGACCCAAGCACTTGGGTCGTCTTCCGCTGCTTTCCCAGGCCATAGCAGAGAGCTGGATCAGAAAAGGAGCAGCCAGGATGTGAATCGGTGCCCATATGGGATGCCAGTACTGCAGGTGGAGGCTTAGCCTACTATGCCATGGCAAGGGCAGAAGATGGATTTCTTGTTAAGTATTCTTAGCACGCACACACACACACACACACAGCAAATTGAATCAAGCAATACATTAAAATGATACTATACCGTGACTAAATGTCCGTCAAAGAGTAAATGATGCAAAGCGACTCTTCTATATTCTCATTGTGGTGATGGTTACACAAATATATATATATATATACACACACACAATTATAGAACTGCACACACACGAAACAGTCAATTTTAATGTATACTAATTTTTCAAATAAAATTAAATTTTTTGTGTGATTTGTGTGTGTGTCTGTGATAATAGTAATTAGCATTTTTAATCCAGAGTTCTTTCAAATACGTTTTACGTAATTCACTCAACAACAACCATGTGGGCCAGGCAGCAGGCCTAAGCAGTTAAGATGCCTGTTAAGGCATCAGAGTCCCACTCCACACTGCCTGGGATCGGTACCCAGCTCCGGCTCCGAGTTACCTCTGGAAGGCAGCAGTAATGGCTCAAGTGACTGAGTTCTTGCTACCCATGTGGAAGACCTGGAATAAATTCCCAGGCCCAGTGGCACCTGTTGCAGGCATTCAGTGAAAAGTCTCTTTGTCTCTCAAATAAATAAAAAAAATTAAAGATTTACTTAATTTACTTGAAGGGCAGAGTTAGAGAGAAGGAAAGAGAGGTCTTCCACCTGCTGATTCACTTCCCAAATGGCTGCAGTGGCTGGAGCTGGGGCTAGGCATGCTGAAGCCAGGAGCCAGGCGCTTCATCGGGGTCTCCCACATGGGTGGCAGGGACCCAAGCATTTGGGCTAAATTCCACTGCTTTCCCAGGCACATTAACGGGGAGCTAGAGGTATAGACTGCTGGTCTCCTTTTTACAGATGGGGAAACTGTCTTAGAGAAGTGAGATGGCTTCATGCTACAGGTGCGGGCCTTGGGTGGAAGGCCCCTGTTGGCAGACTCTCCCACTATCCGCCTCCCCTCTCCGCCCCTGGCTCTGTGCTTATCACCCCAGATGGAAACGAAATTCTCCACCATCCAGATAGAAAATGAGCCCAGGAGCAATTCTGCCAAAGATCAGTGGCTCTAGGCCTCATGGGAGAGAGCAAGAAACCGGGAGTCACACCCCCTGGGGATTCACTGAAGTGATTATGAGTGAGTGAGGGGTGTGGCATGCCAGGAGCACGCTAGTGAGCAATGCCATAGTGGGAGCTTGCTGTGGGCTTAGACATTCTTCCCCTTCTTTCAATTCCATGATATTCATCCAGTGCACAGAAGGGTACGCATCCCAGTGGCTGCTTTAGCCCATTTTTGTCAGAGAAGGTATTTTTAGGGGACTTACTGTTAAAGTGGATGCCAGCTCAAGACACTGCAGGAGCTTTAGCTACAACTCGGGACCTGAGACTTCGGACAAGCAAGGGTGAGTTACTTCCTACCAGTGCAGTCCCTGCCCTTTTGAGATCACATCTTGCTGCAGTGATGCTGTGCTTCGAGAAGCTTCGTCCTGGCTAAAGCATCCTGAGGCTGCCACTGGTGAGCTTTCCAACCCCAAGGGAGCAGGACCGGCAGGCAGGTGTCAGGGCTGAATGGATTCTGAGGCTGAGACTGTGCTGCAGGGGCCGGCGGGCCAAGGGTAAGATGTGCAGGGTCCGTGCCAACCACGCCAGGTGAGTGGAGGGTGTGAGGGAGCCCCATTTCGTGCGCTGGCAATTCGCAGCCGAGGGCGAGAGATGACGTCATCTCGTGCCAATTTCCTGGGAGCAGGAGGCAGAGGGCACGCTTTTCAGGGAAGGCAACTGGCTGGCTCCGGGGCCTGAGGCAACACATCCTAATACTTAGAAGAGGAGTGAGCGTGGGAGGACATTTAAAGGATGGGTAAGCAGGAACGTAGTTGCCTCTCAGGCATTCTGATGGTATCCTGGGAGCCCAGGAATCTTTCTTCCTTAAGGATCCAGAGGGGTAGGTTTACAAGTAGCATTTCTAAAGATCACTGTATCTGACAAGTTGCTGTTCTAGTGTCCTCCAAGCAAAGCACAAGCCCGCATGATGATCGATTCCCAATCCATTTTATGATTGCCGGGAGCTGCATCTCACAGTTCAAGCCATTTCCCATTCGTGCACTCATTCGGCACTGCAAGTCCATGGGGCCGGTTTTAGGATCTCCATCTTGCAGATGAAGACGTCGGGGAATTAAGGGACTTGCTCCCCATCGCTCAGCGATACTGCTGTGGCACAGGGTGGAGTCCCAGGACCCTGCAGTCCTCTTCCCCTGTCCTGGGCTGTACCTCCTGGCTTCAGGGAGCCTCTCATACAACACCCCCCACTAGGGAGTGCCAAGGAGACAAATGCCACGAGACAATGTCCTTTTTCATCTTCATTCTAAGTAAGGAAAAATGCTCAGGGGGCTCCATGGTTAGCCCAGAGCGTTTGCTTAAATGGTTTCCAAATCCTCGCCTTTCTTCTTACTGCTCCCTTCCAGAACCACACTGAGGGGCTAGGACACAGCCCAGATGTTGTGAGGCACCTAGGAGGTGACAAAGATCAGTGAGACTCTGAGTCTCCCCCTTGAGGGCAAAGGGCTGTGTTGCAAGCAGACTGTCAGCGATGCAACAGATCCCTTGCTCCTCTGTGACACTTCACTCTCCTTTTCCTGTTGGCTCTGAATGCTGTCACCTGCCCGCAGCCAGCTCCCCGTGAGCAGGAGCTCCTGCCTCATGGTCACCCATGGAACCCCAGTTCCGAATCTACCACTCAGCGGCTGCTCCATAAAGAGCGCAGGCTGACACAGCCAGCTTGTCCGCTTTGCCTCTTAACTGGAGGTCAATTAACGTTCAGGTGGCTGAACAGGTGGCTGAAATTGCATCATTAGCAACTTTCTCTTTTAACAGAAAAGCTCCTCAAGTGCACCTGTAAGCGGCAGGGTCGATCAGGGGTCTCACTGACATGAAGACACAGTCTTCTCTGTCGGCCAACTCAGAGGCTGCCCAGGCGACAGCAGGGCCCCGAGGAGACAGGTGCGCATGGAGGTGGCTTGGACTTTCATCTGGTTTGGTCTGTGTTGGTCTCCTGTTCACAGCCACAGCCACAGCCACAGCCAAAGACCAATCTGTTTCCAGTGTTCAGACAGAAGCTGTCCCTGGGAAAGTGTGTCCAAGCTCCAGGGAGCGGGAGGGCAAGAGGGAAACGTAGCTTTTCCCTGGACCCCACGTTCCTCTCTTCCGTCTTCTTCTGAAGGACACTGGTCCCCTTGGAAGCTCTAGGGCTTTCAGGGAAAAAAAAAAAAAATGTGGCAAAGGTCATCTGGTCCCCCAGAGAGTGAATGATTAACTTTCCAAAATGAGTTTTGAGGATTTTTTTTTTTAAAATAGCGTTCAAAGGTACAACCAGAAAATTTTAGCCCAGGGCCAATTGTAGGAGTGTCTTCCTGTTCCCTCCCCCCATGCCCAGGTCGAGACAAGGGCAGGGAAGGGCATGTGGAGGCCCTTCCCGGCCCAGCCCCCGCTCCCTGGTGCCTGCCAAGCAGGAAGAGCCCAGGCCTCCACCTGGAGCCGGAGTCCGGCGTCTCTCCTGCCACTCGCAGGAATGCACAAAGAACATGATTCCGCCCACATCCATCCGGCGACCTTGGGCGCCTCCAGCTGCTCCTGGGCGGAATGGGTTTAGGAGACCTGCCGAACAGGCGCCGGGCGCACAGACGGAATCGCAGAGCTCGGCGCGCTCCCGGACACTGCTCGCCCACCCACCCTCTCCACTCTCCTCCCTCGGCGCCTGGGGTGGGGGGAGGCTCTCCGTGGACACCGGCCAAGGGCAAGGAGCCCCAAACAGCACGGCTTGCTTAGCCCTTCCGAGTGTAACGGTGCTGGCAGGCGGCTGCGTCCCGCGGAGCCCCCAGCTCTGCCTCCCCGGTGCCATCAGTATTCGCGCCTGAAAAGAAGGACCCCAGGAAGCGTCGGGGTTTCAAATCGCCTTTCTGGCCTCGGGGGCGCAGCCTCTCCCGGCGGCAGAGCCCAAGAGCCCCGCAGTGCCCCGCTGGGCCTCGGCCTCCGGCCCCGGCGACCTTCTCGCGGGCGGTAGGTACCTCCCCGGCAGACGCCGAGCCCAGCGGCGGGCGCCCCCTGCTGCTCGCACACCGCAGCGCGGCCCGGAGCCGCCCCTACCTGCGCCCTGGACCTCTCGTCCTTTCAGATTTCGCCCTCCAGCCCAGTCCGCCCGCGTGGGTGTCCCTGGACGCCCCGTGCAGTCGCGGGAGTGCGCTCATTCCCCTCTGGCTTGCTGCTCCTTACACCTTCAAGAGCCCGTGACCAGGGCACAAGGGGCACGCAGGTCACAGAGAGTGCTTTCTCGAGGGCCCTCACTCCTCACTGTGGGGCCAAGAGCAACGTCGTGGAAGAGGCACGCGAGGATGGCGCCCGGAGCCCAGCTCCCACTGGACCCCCGGACGCCTAGTGGCCCGGCCTGGTCAGCCCTCCTCGCTCACCTGGTTTCGCAGGCCTGCCTCCATGTGCTGGGGTCCCCGCACCACCTCCCATCCTGGGTTCCCTCATCGCCAGGCAGAGGGAGGCGGCCATGGGCCCTCTGAGTGCGAGGCCCGCATTCCCTGTGCTGGTGCGTTATGGCTTTACAACTCTCTGGAAGGGAGCACTTGCTCACTGGGTCTCTCGTCCGCAGGCACTCGTGGGTTGGGTCCTGACAGCAGATTCCTGGGTACGAAGTCTGTGGACAGAAGACAGAAGCTCACAAAAGAAAGCTACGCTGTCAAAAATAAAGTGGGCTGGATGAGAGGGAAGGAATGGTAATGACCCAGAGACAGAAGGGACAGAAGCGGCTACCGGGCCCACCGTGCCTCTCTCCTTGCTGCAGGAAGATGACCCCTACAGACAGCCTGCGATGCAAGGAAGAGTGGTAGGGGAGGATAATGGCGACTGTGTGATAAAATAAGAAAATAGAATTTTAAAAAATGGCGATAGTAAAAATGTATTTATGTGCATGTGTGTAGGGTGGTGACAAACAGGCCAGTAAAAATCCTGAAAGACAGCAGCAGGTTGTGTGTGTGTGTGTGTGTGTGTGTGAGGGGGGTGATGATAGGCGCCAACTCCTTTGTTTAAATGTGTTTACTAACTTTTGTATTTTTGTTTGTGAGACAGAGAGAAAGAGAGAGTGCGTGCTCCCATCCACTGGGTCATTCCTCAAATGCTCACAATAGCCGGGGCTGGGCCAAGCTGAACCCAGGAGCCCAAAGCCCCACCTGGTCTCCCCGATGGGTGGCAGAGACCCAACTATGTTGCCTCCCGGGATCTGCATCGGCAGAAAGCTGAAGTCAGGAGTCAGAGTCTGCTAGCAAACCCAGGCACAGCAATGTGTGACAAAGCTACCTTAACCAGCCTGCCAACCACTAGGCAGTGTGTGACAAAGCTACCTTAACCAGCCTGCCAACCACTAGGCTCAATGCTTGCTCCTTGATTAACTTTGAATCTGCAGAATTTGACTTTATAGAATTCAATCTATGTATATCAACATCCATGGTAACCATTAAAAGGACAAAGTATGTACTTTCCAAATCAGAAGGAAAATAGGAATTGGAAAAAAGAGAAAACAGCCTAAACTTCACAAAAAGCAAGAGTGTGGGATGGGAGACACAGGAAGATTTATAAACTGGGTCAAGTAGAACATATGTAATTAAAGTTGCAATGAACCCAAGTGTGTTATTAATCAGAATAAATATAAATGGATTAAATATGTAGTCAAGAGACCTCAACTACTAGATGAGAGGATTTTTTTTTTAAATCAGCTATTCCACACAAACTCTGTTTCTTAAACAAGGTGATATAAATAGATTGAAAGTTCAAGGAAAGAAAGATATACTAATCAAATAAATTGAAACCAAAATAAAGTGACACCACTATATTAATATGAGACAAAATCAATATTTAAGCAAAACATTTAAAAATGTTCAAAAAAGACCTACTGGGGACGGTGTTGTAGAGGGTAATGCCAGCATCCCTTGTGGATATTGGTTTGGGTCCTGGCTGCTCCACTTCCAATCCAGCTCCCTGCTAATGTGCTTGGGAAAGCAGCAGAGGATGGTCCATGTGTCTGGGCCCCTGCACCATGTGGGAGACCCAGAAGAAGCTCCTGGCTCCTGGGTTTGGCCTGATCCATCCCTAGTCAATGTGGCCATTTGGGGAGTGAACAAGGGGATGGAAGATCTCTGTGTGTCTCTCCTTCTCTCTCTCTCTCTCTGTAACTCTGCCTTTCAAATAAATATTTAAAAATAAATAAATAAAGGTTACCTTTTGGCTGGCGCCGCAGCTCACTGGGCTAATCCTCCGCCTAGCGGCGCCGGCACACCGGGTTCTAGTCCCGGTTGGGGCGCCGGATTCTGTCCCGGTTGCCCCTCTTCCAGGCCAGCCCTCTGCTGTGGCCAGGGAGTGCAGTGGAGGATGGCCCAAGTCATTGGGCCCTGCACCCCATGGGAGACCAGGAAAAAGCACCTGGCTCCTGCCATCAGATCAGCGCGGTGTGCCGGCCGCAGCGCGCCGGCCGCAGTGGCCATTGGAGGGTGAACCAACGGCAAAGGAAGACCTTTCTCTCTGTCTCTCTGTCTCTCTCTCACTGTCCACTCTGCCTGTCAAAAAATAAAAAAATAAAAAAAAATAAAGGTTACCTTTTTAAAAGATTTATTTATTTTACTTGAAAGTCAGAGTTACACAGAGAGAAGGAGAGGCAGAAAGAGAGAGAGAAAGAGAGAGAGAGAGAGGTCTTCCATCTGCTGGTTCACTCCCCAATTGGCCACAACAGCCGGAACTGTGCTGATCCAAAGCAAGGAGCCAGGAGCTTCTTCTGGATCTCCCACGTGGGTGCAGGGGCCCAAGGCTTGGGCCATCTTCTACTGCTTTCCCAGGCCATAGCAGAGAACTGGATCGGAAGTGTAGCAGCCGGGACTCGAATTGCCCCCATATGGGATGCTGGCAGTGCAGGCGGCAGCTTTACTTGCTATGCCACAGCGCTGGCCCCAATAAAGTTTACTTTAAAATGATAAAAGTGGGAGCTGGCACTGTGGCATAATGGGTAAGGCCACCGCCTTCAGAGCCGGCAACCCATATGGGTGCCAGTTCGAATCCTGGCTGCTCCACTTCCAATCCAGCTCTCTGCTGTGTCCTGGGAAAGCAGTAGAAGATGGCCCAAGTCCTTGGGCCCCTGCACCCATGTGGGAGACCCAGAGGAAGCTTCTGGCTCCTGGATTCAGATTGGTGTAGCTCCAGTCATTGTGGTCAATTGGGGAGTGAACCAGCAGATGGAGGATCTCTCTCTCTCTCTCTCTCTCTCTCTCTTTCTCTCTCTCTCTGCCTCTCCTCTCTGTGTAAATCTTTCAAGTAAATAAATAAATCTTAAAAAAATTAAAATGAAATGATAAAAGCTTCAGTTAACTGGGAATATACCAAAATTCTAGGCCTCTATGTTCCTAATAACATAGTACCAAAATACATTAAGCCAAAGTTTGATAGACCTGTAAGAGGAAATTGAACCAGAAATTTTTAAAAAGGATTTATTTATTTGAAAGGAAAAGATACAGAAAGAAGAATCTTCTATCCACTGGTTCATTCCCCAAATGCCTGCAACAGCTGGGCCCTGGCCAGGCTGAAGCCAGGAACCAGAAACTCCATCCAGGTCTCGAAAGTGGGTATCCAGGGCTCAAGTACTTGAGCCACCGTCTACTGCCTCTCAGGCACATTAGTGGGAAGCTGGATTGGAAACTGAGTAGCTGAGACTTGAATGATCACTTCTACACGGGATGTGATTGTCCCAGGTGACAGCTTATCTCACTGTACCACAACACCCATCCCCATAGTGGGAGGCTACAAACAGCTCTCTCAGTGAATGTTGGGAAATGCAGTCCAGATAATCTGTAGGGTACAGGGAATGTGAACAGGGTACGCTCTGACGTTTATTAACCATGACGCTGACCTAGCACACCTTGTTCATACACAGGTAGTGTAAGGAAGAAGTGCTAGGCTAAAATGCTGCCGTGAATAGACGCCAAGGGAATGGGTCTGTTAGACCACCTTCTCCGATTATCATACAAACAGAACTAGGACACCAGTGTCTTTGGAAATATTTCATGAATCAAAGAGGAAATCATGATAGAAATTGGAAGATAAGTGAACTGAAAGGAGCTGCAAATACAACATATGAGAAGCTGTGTCGGTCCACAAAAACGAGGTTAACAGGAGTTTTTATAATTACAAGAAAGGCTGGGAATTTAAAAGAACGTCAAAATAAATCTAAAGGGGCCAGTGCTGTGGTGTAGTGGGTTACGCTGCCACCTGCAGCACCAGCATCCCATATGTCCTAGCTGCTCCACTTCTGATCCAGCTCCCTGTTAATGTGCCTGGGGAAGCAGGAGATGTCCCCTGCACCCATGTGGAGACCCGGAAGAAGCTCCTGACTCCTGGCTCCTGGCTTTGGCCTGGACCAGCCCTGGCCATTGCAGCCATTTGGGGAGTGAACCAGTGGATGAAAGACCTCTCTCTCTGTCTCTCCCTCTCTCTGTGTGATTCTTTCAAATAAATATTTTAGAAAAAATCATAATCTAGGGGTTGGCACTCTGACATAGCAGATAAAGCCACTGCCTGCAGTGCCGGCATCCCATATGGGCACTGGTTCAAGCCCTGGCTGCTTCACTTCCAATCCAGCTCTATGCTATGGCCTAGGAAAGCAGTAGAAGATGGCCCAGGTCCTTGGGCCCCTGCACCTGCATGGGAGACCCAGAGGAAGCTCCAGGCTCCTGACTTCGGATCAGCTCAGCTCTGGCCATTATGGCCATTTGGGGAGTAAACCAGCAGATGGAAGACCTCTCTCTCTATGCCTCTGCCTCTCTGTAACTCTGCCTTTCAGAAAAATAAATTAATTTCAAAAAATCTAAAGAAGTAGATAGAAAGCAGCAACATGAGCAGAAAGTAATGTAATAGAGAAACATACAATAGATAAGAGCAACAAAATCAGCAATTTATTCTTGATAATTATTTATCAAGAAAGATGGATACAGGGGCCAGCATTGCAGCATGGGAGGTTACACTGCCGCGGTGATGCTAGAATTCCATGTCCAAGTGCTGGTCCAAGTGCTGACAGCTCTGCTTCCAACCCAGCCTCCTTCTTGGGAAGGCAGAAGGTAAAGGTCCAAGTGTTGGACCCCTGTCACCCAAGTGGGACACAAGGATGGAGCACCTGGCTCCTGGCTTCCACCTGGCCTGGTCCTGGCTGCTACGGCCATTTGGAGAGTGAAACAGAGCATGGAAGATTCTCTCTCTCTCTATCTCTGTCTCCGTGTGTTTCTTTCCCTTTGTCACTCTGCCTTTTAAATAAATAAAAGCATCTTTTTATTTTTTTATTTTATTTTTTAAGGGAAAGAGTTTATTGGGAAAATTTCAGTAGACCAGAGGGAAGGGGTGAAGAGGGAAAAAGAGAGAAGGAGACTGTAAGAGAGAGAGAGAGGAGAGAGAAGAGAGACGAGAGGAGGAGAGGAGCTGAGAGAGAGAGCCAAGAGAAAAGAACCGAGAGAGCACGTGTTCAGGAACAGGCCCTTTTAAAACTTTGTCCGAGGGCGGGCAGGGAAGCAGGAGCAGCCAATCCCATTGGGAAGGAGTGGAGCTTGACCACAGAGATTGGGCCATGTGGCCACCTGGCTAAAACTGCGCCAGTTTCCTAACATTCCCCCCTTTTGTTTTTTTATAAAGCAGGATTTGTATGGGATTATTTTAGTCCTAGAAGTCCAGGAGGGGTAGAGGGACGATGATCTGTCTTTAGAGCTACTTCCTGCTGACATGGGGCGATGAGGTACTCTTCGCTGGCATGGGGCGATGTCTCAAGCCACTGTCTCCTGGGTGGGGAGCCGAGTACATTCCCGTAGCAGCATTTGGTTGACCGCTTGGTTGCTGAAGGCCTTCGTTTGTTCCATTATAACCTGCTGTAAACACTTAGACACTGTAGTACAAAAGACAGGGTGACGGGTTCTAGTCCCGGTCGGGGCGCCGGATTCTGTCCCGGTTGCCCCTCTTCCAGGCCAGCTCTCTGCTGTGGCCAGGGAGTGCAGTGGAGGATGGCCCAAGTGCTTGGGCCCTGCACCCCATGGGAGACCAGGAGAAACACCTGGCTCCTGCCATCGGATCAGCACGGTGTGCCGGCCGCAGCGCGCCAGCCGTGGCGGCCATTGGAGGATGAACCAACAGCAAAGGAAGACCTTTCTCTCTGTCTCTCTCTCTCTCTCTCTCTCACTCACTGTCCACTCTGCCTGTCAAAAACAAACAAACAAACAAACAAACAAACAAAGACAGGGTGAGAATAGTAACCAATGATCCTAAGAGTCCTAAGAGTAGTATTTACCAGGTAATGAGAGGATTTCATAGAGGAGAGGAAATGGGGGAGGAGGGGTCTCTGGACCCTTGTGGGGACAGTTTGATAGATGTGGCTTAAAGCTGATTCCAGCAAAGATTGGGAGAGAGGCCACTTTTGCAGGTAATGGGGTTTGTAGAAAAATTCTGAATAATCATACAACATTAAGTGGAGGAGAGAGAGGACCATCAGTACACACAGGTTGGGAGTAGAGCCACTGGTGGTGGAGTAGAGGTTATGATTACAAAGGAACGAGACCCAAGTGGGCTAGACAGGGTCTAGAACAAAGGACAGAGTCATTATTAGAGGAGCTAAGAAAGGTGCTGTCTAAGCTGCAAATAAGTTTTCTGATTGAGAGGCCAATAGAAACTAACAGAAGGGGCTTGATAATAATCTGGTGGGCTTTAGGCTTTATAAGTTAAGAGGCCCAGACCCATCTATCTAATCACATAGGGAACATCCTAAGGGAGGTGGGAACCTCCTTGGGGAAGGCACCCTGTTGACTTCCATTACCTAGCTGGCCTGGGAGGAGAGCTGGCCAGGTAAAGGCAGGTGGCATCTCTAACAGGAAATTTACAGTTCTGCCTGCAATGTTGCCGACCCTACATGGCCATTTCCTCAGCTGTAGTGGTCACTTTGGAAGCTGGGCCGAGTGAAGGGCTTTTCAGCTTGGAGCCAGCAAGATCTGTGGCTCTGACCTGGGCGTCCTTCGCCTCCAGGGCAGGTCCATTTCCAGTGATCCAACTCTTAGCTGGCAGAGCTGCAGGGCTCTTCACAAGCGGACTTCTGCTGAAGCCCAGGCTTTCTACACTGAAAGCCACTGCAGTGGACTGGCCTGTTGGGTCCCCTTGAGGGCATAAAAGCATCTTTTAAAAAAAAAAAAGATCAATACAGAGGCATCCAAACTTAAATAATAAAGAATTATGAACACCTCTATAGTAGTAAATTTGAAAACAATTGATTAGTCCCCAAATCAGCAGCAATTAGTCATTTTATTTCTATTTTATCATTTTATTTCTATTTTTAAAGATTTATTTATTTACTTGAAAGATTCACACAGAGAGGAGAGGCAGAGAGAGAGAGAGAGAGAGAGAGATCCTCTATCCACTGGTTCACTCCCCAATTGGCCGCAATGGCTGGAGTTGCACCAATCTGAAGCCAGGAGCCAGGAGCTTCCTCTGTATCTCCCACATGGGTGCAGGGGCCCAAGGACTTGGGCTTGATTCCTTTGAAAAAAGGAAATGAAGAAATTCTAATTCAACAACAAATGAACAGCACCTGATCAGGAAGAAAGAGAAATCCTATATACTTTCAATCCTTAAAATAAATGAATCAATAGTTAAAAAAATCTTCTGACAAAGAAAACACGAAGCCTAACAAGTTTTTTTTTTAAAGATTTATTTATTTATTCAAAAGTCAGAGTTACACAGAGAGGAGAGGCAGAGAGAGAGAAAGAGAAATAGGTCCTCCATCCGCTGGTTCACTCCCCAATTGGCCACAATGGCCAGAGCTATGCTGATCCGAAGCCAGGAGCCAGGAGCTTCCTCCAGGTCTCCCATGTGGGTGTGGGGGCCCAAGGACTTGGGCCATCTTCTATTGCTTTCCCAGACCACAGCAGAGAGCTGGATCACAAGTGGAGTAGCCAGGTCTTGAACCGGCACCCACATAGGATGCCGGCACTGCAGGCGGCAGTTTCACCCACTACGCCACAGTGCCGGCCCCGGCCTAACCAGTTTTTAAGGTGAGTTACAACAAATTTCCATGCAAAGAGATGGCCCGGTGTTATTGGAATAGAACAGAAACACGAGGAGCCCCTCCCACTCTGGTGAGGGATACAACTGTAAAATTCTGGAAGATGACAAGGAGCCTGTCACCACGACCTCCAGACGATTTCTTTGGGCATGGGTTTGGTGCAGCCGTTAAGATGCAGCCTGGGATACCAACACCCCATACTGGAGTCCTTGGGTTCAAGTCCCTACTCTATTCCAGTTTCCTGCCAAGGTGTGCCCTGGGGGACAGTGCATGATGGCAAAAGTACCTGGGTCCCATGTGGCTCCCACATGGGAGACTCAGAGGGAATGAACCAGTGCATGGAAAATCTCTCTTTTTCTCTCTGTCTAAAACAAAAATGAAAATAAATAGTAAATAAAATATTTAGAACAGATTTCTCAAACAATATGCACAACATGTTCTATTATAATGGAGAAAGCAATTAAAAATTCACCTACATTAAAATGGAGAACTTAGATCAATGTAATAGCTTTGGACAGTATTTTGACATGACTTAGTAAATTTAAACCTTTGTATATTCTGTGAACCTAAATTTTCTTCTTCTATATATACAGTTAAAAGACTTGTGTGCATCTGAAGACATGTACAATGATGTACACAAAAACAGTCAAGCCACTGAAACCAGAAATAATCTAACTTCCCAATTACAGAAATATCAAGTGTGACAGAGTCCTGCAGTGGAACATTATACGGTAGAGAAAAGGAGCAACCTACTTCCACTGCATTCGCACAGGAGTCTCTAATGCGTAGTGGACAACAAGACAATCACAGAAGACTTCATTCCGGACGATTCTGCGTGAAGCTCAGAAACAGGCGAACTAAAAGCGCATTGTTTTGGAGGTTTGTAGGCCACATTCTGGTGATTCTGACTTCATCTCTTTTTCATGTTCTGATTTACAATGGAGATGCATGTTACAACCCGGGGTATCTTACAGTCGCATGTAGCAGCTCTTCTCTTAGACAAGCAATACTGATGCATCGCACATCGCTGGGGGCTGAAGTTCAGCCAAACCCAGCAGGTGGGAAAACCTCACAGAAGAGTGGCAGGGTGGCTGGGGTACCATTGCAGCAGCCATAGGACGCCTGCTTTCCTTCCCCTCCCACTGTAGAAATGGCTGCTCTCACTGCTGACTTGGGGACTAATCAGATTTATGTTTAACCTGGCAGATAAATTACGCTTGCTTGCGCATTCCAGACACCAGCCTTGAGAAAGCTGGCGGAGGCTGCAAAGTCATCTGGCTCTGGCCAACATGAGAGCAGACCGGCTTTATGGCTGCGGGAGGAAGGGAACCACGCTGGCTCCCACCTGCCCCTTATCGCCTGGCAGCTGGCCTTGTCCTTTGTTCCTTTTGTTCCTGGACCCTTCCAGCTCCCTTTCGTGTTCCCTTCAAAAGCCCGCCTGCTAGCCTGAGAACTGGACCACTGGGCCCCCACCTCCCAGGATTGCCAGTGTCTTAAATGCACCTGACCGCCTTGCAGCATGTCTCCTGAGCAGCCTTGCTCCTGGTAACAGCATGAGCACTTAAGTTGGGGGAGATGGGGGGAGGGACTTTGGTAACAGCATGAGTACCTACGGTGGGTGGGGGGGGAGGGACTTAGGAGAATTCCAAGGTTTAGGCAAATATTTTTTTTTCACCTAAGTGAAGTATATTGGTGCGTGTCTTTTTTTTTTTTAAGATTTATTTATTTATTTGAGGGCAGAGTTACAGAGAGGCAGAGAGAGCGAATGAGCGAGGTTTTTCTTCTGCTGGTTCACTCCCCAGATAGCCACAATGGCCAGAGCTGGGCCAATCTGAAGCCAGAAGCCAGGAGCCAAGAGCTTCTTCCGGGTCTCCCACGTGGGTGCAGGGGCCCAAGGACTTGGGCCATCTTCTACTGCTTTCCCAGGCCACAGCAGAGAGCTGGATCGCAAGTGGAGCAGCCGGGACTCGATGAAAGATCTCTCTCTCTCTCTCTCTCTCTCTGCCTTCCAAATAAATAAAAGTAAACTTTAAAAATAAATAACATTTTAAAAAATGGGGGCGAAGGGAATGAGTGATGGACTCAGCCGTGGGGGCGGCTGCAGGCTTTTCTGAAGCCCTGTGTTCTCTGTAGGAAGGAGGCCTGCACGGGGCGGTGGGGCGATCAGAAATGGCAGCCCTGGGCGTGGGGCCCCGCCCGGGAGGCATGCATAATCCAGGTGCTAGACCGAGAGCTTTTTTATATGCAGTTTTCCATGTGTTCCTCCCATCAAGATGAGGAGCTGTGCGCTTTCTCCTGCTGCCGGTTTCTCAGGGCCACCGGAACAAACACCACAGGCCGGCTGATTCCAACGGCAGGAAGGCGTGGTCTCCCACCTCCGGAGTGGGGAAGGCCACGATCAAGGCAGAGAGGTCTCTCCTTGGCCTGTGGAGGGCGCCCTCTTGCTGTGTTCAAGTGGGCGCCCCCTGCGCGTGCACATCCCCGCGCCCTTCGCTGAGCCCTTTTCATAGAGACACCACTCGGATTGGATTAGGGCCCCACGCTGATGGTCTCATTTTAGCGTAGTCACCTCGGTAAAGTCACACTCCGGGGTGCTGGGGATGGGGGATGGGGGGTGTGGAGGGCACGATTCAGGCCAAATGATGCCCAGCGGGGAGGGGGTCATGGAAACGCAGCGAAGTCAAGAGTCAGAGCTGAAGGGCAAGGCCAGCCAATCGCAGAGGCCGACGGCCCATCCTTCCACCACTAAACACAGCCCTGCCCCCGGAAGAGTGCAGAATGATGGCGAAGGCCTTTTGGAGACCGTAAAATAAAGAAGTAACAGTACGCGACTCTTCCGGAGCTCGGCTGACCCGTCCCACACAACAAAATGGAGCTGGGCGCTCCAGTGTCCGGGCTGGACCGGCCTCTAGTAGGGACCTCTTGAAAATCCGAGCATCAAGCACAAAGACTAGAATCTAAAATGGCTAAAATGGCGGGGGACGGCCAACAACTTAGCATCAGCTGAAACCCACTGTCCTTGTTCCTTTTCGGAGGAACCTGGTCCTGTCTATCCCGGGCCAAGAAGCGTGACACCTGCTGGGCTCTGGGGGAGAGCGTGGGCGGGACCTTCCTCTTTCCTTATGTGGTCCCCTGCTGCCCTCTGCTGGTCAGCAGAGGCAACACTCGGGAATCGGTTGATGATGGGCAGCGTCCAAAACCCGCAGGTCTCTGGGGGAAGAGAGGAATCCACAGGAGTCAGACTGGAGTGTGTAAACCGCCTCCCCCCACACGCGCGCATTTAGGTGAAGTTCCCTCTCGTGTTTTGTAACTGTGGGGGGTTTTAAAAACGTGCTTAGGGTCTTTTCCTCTTGTTACACCTGCTACCTTCTCACAAGTGATGTTCCCCAAGGGTCCCGAATATGAGAATCAGAACGCAGCTTCTGACGGTTTCACAGGACATGGGTTCTGCAGCCCGTGTTTTCCACAGCTGCGGACTCACTGCGTGTTTGAAAAGATGTTTTCTCAACATCTTAAAGCTACGATCTCCTGTGGGATAGCCCAGGGACCCCACCCTAGGGTTACAGCTCTTTTGAAAAATAATTATTTTCACCTTAAGTATGAATTTTTATTAGAACAAAATCATTGGTTCATGGTTTCAGAAACTTCACTTTGCAACAAACACACACACACACACACAGGTATGTTTTGGGGGAGATGCTCAAAAATCAAACAGGAGCCCGACCCTTGGAGAAACACTAAGGGCCAAAAGAGCTGGGGACTCCCGCTTGGCGCTTGGCGGAGCGGCTGCTCAGCGTGCACCGCTGTGTGGGCCTCGGGCCCTCCTTACGCAGTTACCAGAACATTCTCGAAGAAAGCAGGTCACGTCACCACACCCTCTGCTCCAGGGAGAGGGCCGAAGTCACGCCGTCCATCTCAGATCACAACCCTGCTTCGTCACCCACTGGGCAGGGCCAGGTGGCCTGAGACCTGCAGGCCTGCCTGTGGCTACCCTGCCCTTCCGCTGCGTGCATTTTCACCTGCCGGGATCCTTGCGGGACCCCAGCTCCACGCTTCAGGAGTCACTGTGTGCATCTATTTGTGGCTCACTTCTCGTCCCCACCACCAGGCGGCGTCATCCCCGCCCGGTCAGTGCTCGCTCCGCGCTGTCACCGCAGTGTCCAGGGATCATTTCTTGGTGAGTGAGTGAATGAGGCGCACAACGGATGTACGGAGGGGTGAGTGACACCGAGGTCGCTCCACACGGATCCCAGAACCAAGTCCGCTCCATACACGGGAGGAAGGTTCCATCGCTGCCCCAAAGACAGCGCTGCGGCCGGCAGCCCGCAGCCCGCAGCAGGCCGAGCTGCACTTTGGTCCTTGACTTTCACAAGTCATGGAAATGCCTTCCGTGTTTGCAGCAGACTCGGGGAGGGACAGAAGCGCAGGCCACTGCCACTGCCAGGCGACCCGAGCCTGAGCAAGGGACAAGGAACAGCACGGGCGACCGGTTACCGGTTCAGAATCTGTGGCTCAGGGACGGTGGCTGAGCGCCGTCCCCAAGAGAGGTAGCGAGGGCCGCAGCGCCACCAGCTGGCCGCTGGCCCGGTTCTCTGCCCCGACGCCATCTCCGGGGGCCGGGGGAAGGATGGAGCCCGAGGGCGGCGTGCCAGGGCGGGCTCAGGGCGGGCCGAGTTGGGGGTTCTTGAGGAAGACGGCCAGCTTTTGGGCCACGGCGTCCAGCTCGCTGGCGCTGGCCCCGCGGAGGAGGTTGGTGTTGCGGACGAAGTAGTGCTTCAGGAAGTGCTGGCTCACACACTTGTGCAGCTTCCTCACCAGGCGCAGGAGCGCCGTGCCGAAGCCCTGCCAGTCCTTGGGGTGCGGGTACTTCTCGCAGGTCCAGAAGAGCACCGTCTGCGGGAGGGAGAGGCGCGGTGAGCCGCGGTCACAGCCGCAGAGACAATGGCCCAGGGGCCGGGGAAGGCTCAGGGGACCCGTCCTGAGCTCCAACCTCAGCTGGGCCCTTGGTCCTCCTGGCGTTCCAAGGATGGCCAGGGGTCTTCCCTCTGCAGCACCCCACTCCCAGCCGATGCCAGGGACAGTAGAACCCCTCACCCTGCCGAGCCCCACTGGCTGCACCTGCCCCCTCCCGGCTGAGACTGATCCCTCCCCGGGCTCTCAGGCCCCCACCTCCCAGGAGCTGACTGAGCTCTGCCTCAGTGTCTTTCCACCTGTTCATTCAAAGCTCCCTCGCCTCCCTCCTGCCCTGCACCTCCCTGGAAGTCCAGCCAGCTCCATCGTTTGTCCTCACTTCTCTCCTGCCATTGCCTGCCTCAATCCACTCCCTCGAGGCGCAGGCCAGGCCCCGCCCTTTTCTTCCCCCACATCCACTCTCCAGCTCTACATCCCTTCTACAACCCGACAGGGGTGGGGGGGGGGGTGGGAGGGCAGGGGGAGGCTCTGACTCCTGAATGCGCAGGGGAGGGGCCCAGCACTCACTTCCTCCAGCTGGGACTTGGCCTCTGACCTCCTGGCTTTGTGTCTCTCCGGGATCTGTGTCTCAGCCTGTCCCCAGCGAACTCCCAGTCTTTCCTCACAAACTGGATGGGCCACCAGACTCGCCTCTCCAGCCGGTTGTGCGAGACACAGACCCAGGAGCCACCCTTCTCGTCACCTCCCACCCCAGCCAGGTCCTGCCAGTCCTCCTGCCTGCATTTCTCAAGTCCATGCATCTTCATCTCCAACGTCACCACGCTCTTCCACGACAACACGGAACCTTCCCAGGCCTCCGCAGCAGCTGTCCAGCGAGTCTGCGCCGGTTCTTACCACCAGCCACTCCGTCCCCTCTCCCTGCCCCTCCACAGCCACTATGATCCTGGTGAATCTGAATCTGCGTTCTCTCTGCTCTCAACTACTCCAAAATCTTCCCCCATTTAGTCCTACAGATGGTTTGGCCCATAAGGTTTGGTTCCTCTTGCCAAAGGCACCGAGAACGTCCTAGAGAAAGGGCGGTCTACTCTAGAAACGGATATTCATAGCAGGAAAGAATGGAACCGGATCCCCGGTTCTGACTGTGCAAAATTACCCAAAATAAACCAAAGACGTATACGGAAGACCTGAAACTGCCCGGAGAACACACAGGAGAAGCACTGCAAGACACTGGCACAGGCAGAGATGTTGCCGGTTAGATCCCCACAGCACAGGCAGCAAAAACTCAAAGTGGACAAACGGTTTCATAGCGCATAGAAACTGTACAAGGAAGGAAACCAGCAACGTAGTGAACAGTCAGCTTACAGAACGGGAGCAGATACCTGCTGACCGCACATCTGGCGAGAGATTAATGGTCAGAACTCAACAGCAAAAAAATAAACGATGGGACTCACAGACAGCAAATTATCTAAGTAGATGCTTTTCAAAAGAAGCTAGAGAAATGGTCACTAAGTGTAGGGAAAATGTTCAGCGTCACCACTTGTCAGGGAAATGCAAACCAACAACACAACAACAGAGCAGGCACGTGGCCTGTGGATCAGCCACTGCCAGTTATATTAGAGCGCCAGACTACAATGCCTGTCGCCAGCTCCCAACTCTAGCTTCCTGCTAATGCAGACCCCAGGAGGTAGCAGGGATAGCTCAAGTCACTGGGTCCTGGCCTCCCTTGTGGGAGACCTGCCCTGAATTCCCCGTTCCCAGATTCCGCCCCGCCGGCTGCTGCAGAAATCTGGGGAGTAAATCAGTAGATGGAAGTCCTCTCTCTCTCTCTCTCTCTCTCTCTCTCTCTCTCTCTCTGTGTGTGTGTGTGTGTGTGTGTGTGTATCTGCTTTGCTGTCTTTGTCTCTCAAGCAGACAAATGAAAAATTGTTTTCATAAACAAGACACAACGTAATATCCTCTTGAACAGCTATTATCAAAAAGACAAAAGATAAATCTTGGCAAGGACGTGGAGAAGGGGGACTCTCAGCCATACAACTCGTGGGAACATAAATTACTGCAGCTGTCACAGAGACCATGTAAAGGCTCCTCAAAACAGCAGAAAACAGCAGGACCACCATACGAACCAG